TACGCACTGTTTGTTTAGCTTTTACGTTTTAATTGAAATAAGCGTTCCGGCTACGCGGGCTCGCCTGGCTTGATTGATCTACGCGGCGGCCCGCGCGATAACCGCGCGGCAGCCGCGCAATAATTTTATTGAGAAGAATTTAAATGTTGTTGCATAATAAATAGAATTCAGTTCGCCATTAATGTACATGAAGGCGTGGTAACTGAGCGGTCGCCGCGCGAAAACTTTCTTCTCTGGTGGTAACTGGGCGCTTAGGGTGCTGGTGAAATTACAGGCATATGATACTTGTCACATTACGATTCAATTCGGGCGCAATGGTAGTGTTAATCAGATTTTTATGAGTGGCACTGCAACTGTTACGGACGCAGGCGCACGATGTATTCGTCCCGTCACTTAGTATTATTTAAAAAAATTTTAGTCTTCGATCTTATTGTATGGTATTTTGTAATTCACAAAAAACTTAATTATTTCTGAAGTCTATATTCCTTAAACTTTTTTAACGTATCCTAACTTTCATATATTTACAAAAATAATTAAAACTTTTTTTATGAAAATAAAACCGGCTTCAAAACTTTGTTTAACAGCTTTTGCTATGTTCATATCCGCCTCCTCAACGACAATTGAGTCCTCGTCAAAATCTTATTATTAGAGCACGAACACAAGGTAACTGCTGTCCACATTTGTGAACTTCCTTTCATCTGTCTGCCATTTCCATCATGAGATCAGTTGTAAATCACAATAACGTATTATTTCTATTATAATTATGTCCAAAAGTTTTATTAAAATCGGTTAACGGAAAGCGGGTGGAATTCAATACACCGGATTCATCCCCTAATTTGCCACCTTTATAGGTAGAATATTTTCTTCAAATACCGCTACTGAGGTACCCTCTTTCCAACAAAAACAGAACCATCGAAATCGGTTCACAAATTTAAGAGTAAGTAAAAAAAATTGAGTTGAGAACCTCCTACTTTTTGAAGTCGGTTAAAAATAGTATAAATTACGATTAATAACGCCAGAGACAGCTTTACATAATACTCGTGTAAATCGTGAATACTCTATAATAATAAAAAACAAAGGCATGAAAACGTCTTTTACGTCATTTTTTAATAGGTAATAACATTGACTTACAAATAAATGGACGACGGGTCTAATACATAAACCACGAAAAAAATGTCCCAAGTCAACCTATTTAAACGTAGTGACATGTAAAGGAATATGAAAAAGCTAAAACGTTGAATTTAAATTGTAATGTCATCGCAGTACTGTCTAATTTTGCTTGCTTCGCTGTCAGTCGAACAAACGAAGACTAAATCGTGAATGACGCTCTGTATACGATTTTAACGCCCTATAAGTTCGGAAACTTTTTAGCGCGAACCCGACGTCCATATAATTGTAAGTCAATGGGTAATAAGTTCTGTTAACGCAGAAAACTTAGAAACAGGGAATAAGTTTAAGACTCTACACAATCTCAAATGGCTTTGGCTCCGCATAACAGTGAAAGCGTTGAATCAACCGCTTAGGAAAAAATTGCAAACACTGAATATAATAATATTGTATAAAAACACGATTCCTTAAAATTTTCACGACGGAAAAAAACACAAACCTACCTCGAAATTTCACAAGAACACCCCTGTACTCAATAGTTACTTTATATATACCAATTTTTTTTTAATATCAACTGACCTAAATAGAACACGTATACGATATACATTTTTCAAATAGCTTTATCTTCGTTTAAAAAAAATTAATTATAAAATAAAGCCAGTGTCCCTGCCACTCGACCCAAGCAAAATGAACCGTATTAGTACGGGAAAAATTTGAACACATGCTGATGTAAAACCTACTCTTAAGTCTCCCATATATACTTTAAAAAATAATTCATAAACAGCTCTGTACATTTTGAGATATAAAACGAGGATGTGTATCGTAATATCAATTCAATTTAGAATTATGAAACACCATTTGTCTTAATTTTCTTTTATCATTTATCACTCCGTGTGCTAATCTAACAAATTGATTCAGACGGGCCTTTACTTAATGCCGTCCTCATCCTTCAGCTATCCACGTTCCACTAAATTTTCTTACTTTCTTTGGACAAATTAAAACAACACGCAAATTATCCTAACAACAACATTTCCTAATACCAATATGATATGGCGATATATCATATGGAGGATTCCTAATAATTAAACAAACATATTTTCCCTTGAATGCAGACAGTTTCTGATCATCTGGACGAATAACCAACAACCATGCACATACACAGGATAATATATCCATAAAATGAAAAATAAAAAGTTAGTTACTGAGTTATTTTAATTAGTTTCATCCAAGTCGGTAGCCCATCTCCTACTCTCGTCCTTATATGTCTACATTCGCCGGAAAAAAATTTCATCAAAACAATCGTCAAGATACATCGTCATCATCATAGCTCCATATGAAAAACAAACACAAAAGATTAACAATAAAATATAAACAACCTATTACCTACTAGAAACTGAAAATCATTAAACTATCAAGTAATAGTTCAGGTAGCGTAGCGAGAGATACTTTTTGAATATAAGACTGGAATTATCTTCATAAATAGATATTTATTACGTATTTTACATATTGACCCATGGAAGCTTCTTCTAGAACTGCCAAGATGTTCTTCTTTTTTCTATCTTACTTTTTAAATACATTCCAAACACAAACCTATATTCATTCAGCCAGTAGTTCTACTCATAAAGTAGAGCCTGAACTACAGTACGCTAAAAGAAATTAACCAGCACTCTTACCCCTCAAATCCGGAACGCAATCGCGTTACTGCTTGGCGGCAGAAATAGGTGGCAGTACTACCCTGGACGAACTCTTTCACAAGGAGCTCTACTGCTACTGGTGGTAAAATGACACGTCTACCCGTAATAGTTGCAGTGCCATTCAAACTTTAAATCGCAATAATCTGAGGGGCGCCCGTCATCCTAAGACATAAAGTTGACAATAACACATTGCATATGACTGTAGTAAACCGGAACCAATACTGATTACTTCTCCGACGAACTTTTTTCAGGGAGCTCTAATGCCACAAACTGATAAAATGATTGGTAGTTATTTTATAAGATACGTCACTCTTATGTAAAATCGAAAATACTACGCTATAATAAATTACTAAATCTACACCAGGCGCAAAAAGGAACCTAAACACGCGGTCATAGAAGTCAAAACAACGTTTCCCGCCGTGTGCAGACGTGCGGAAGCGAATGCTGGGGTTGTACCAGGATTGTAATGTGGAAAATGGAAGACTTGTCTGAACGTTTGCACTATCGGCGATACACTCAGCGGTAGGCTCTTATCGCGTAACCTCGAGCGAGTGGCGAAATCCTGCCAAAATAATAAAGTTGTCTTAAAAGAGTTAAAAATTGTTTTCATGTTATGATGGAACACAACAAAACCATTTGGGAAATTGCATAGTAATTTTTCATTATGAAAAAGCTTTATCTGGTTTAACAATGTTTTCGTAAAATGAGTTATCAGAGCGTTATTACATTGTATAGTTGTTAACTTTATCATGTTGTTGATTTTGGTATTTCTTAAAGAATCATTAAAATGTGTTCACAAAAGTGATCGAGAACATGCACACAAAAAAAATACAGACGAATTGAGAACCCATTCCTTTTCTAAAGTTGGTTAAAAAAATACTAAAAAGGACAGAACTACGTGTGTCTCAAGGACGCGAGACAGATTACTAACAAAACTACAGTTCTTTAGATGACAATAATAATTTAATGATCTCGGTGGCCCAACGGTTAGTGGGCCCTAGATGTGAAGGGTTCAATTCCCGGTATTTTACATTGATTCAGGTCTGGATGTTGTGGGTGAATTCCGTTATTCAGAAAGCTCCTTGTGAAAGAGTTCATCCGGAGAAGCACTGCAACCTTACCTATTTCTACCACCAAGCAGTAAAGTGAAACATTACAGCTTTCTGGCTTTGAAGGGTAAGAGTGCTAGTGAAATTACAGGCACATGGGATTTGTTAACTTGTGTGTTAGGGTGAGACGGTCGCAGTAGCAATGCCCCTCAGATCTATGCGATTTGAAGCTCTGAGCAGCACTACAGTTGCAGCTATGGACAGGCGTGTCACTTAGTCAGGCACACTTGTTCGTCCCGTCACTTCGTAGTATCATGATAAAAAATGTTTTGAATACAGGGTTATTTTTAAAATACTGCAGGACTATTATATTACTAACATCATAAACAACAACTTTTGTTCCATGAATTTTGACAATACATAATAGATTTACCTAAACTAAACTATTAATTATTAATACAAAGATCGAATACTCAGACAAAATCCTTCGATCGGGCCGGGTTCCGGGCCGACGTCTTCTAGCATACCGTGCCAGACGCTATACCAACTAAGCATCGGAACGAACCAGCGGACCTCACGAATTTCTCTGTGTTTGTATTTGGTTTTTTCAACGACTTTTTAGCAGTAGCGCCATGTATGAGAAATCTTAAGTATTTACCCAGTTAGATACCTTTACAGCCACCAGCCCTGGCTAGAGATGTCGCTATTCATTGTATTTTATATTTTTATTGAATTGATATTCAATTTTTTTTTATGTGAAATCACTCCACTAGTTTGTTATAATTATTAATACAAAGATCGAACATTCAGAAAAAATTCCTTCGATCCGGCCGGATTCTAACCGACGTCTTCTAGCATACCGTGGCAGACGCTATACCAACTAAGCGACTAAGCTAAACTTTTATATTTTCGTTACACTATCTAACACTTTTTAGATCTGAGAAAAGTTCAAACGTGCAAACGTCTTCCGCAACGACCTCCTCGCCCGTCCTGCACAGTGTTATTACCGTTTAGAGCAATCTATTTAAATGTATTTGTTTTTGTATGAAACTAAAATCTGATGATATATTAAAATTATTTTAAAAATAACCCTGTATATATAAGCATTTTAATTTAAGTTTTTTAATGTTGATAATTTTCTTTACTGCAGTAAACCTGTCCGTGGCAGACGCGATGGTGTCAACGCTGAACGTGACTTTCAACTTTACCTACATGCTGTTCTCCGACTGGCCCTTCGGCCACTTCTACTGCAAATTCTGCCAGTTCATCTCCGTTCTCAGTCTCTCTGCTTCCGTCTTCACGCTTATGGCTATTAGTATAGATCGGTAAGTAATTAAAATGTATACTCCTGGTTAGTGTTGGGTCATGGAAAAATTTCCATTTTGAAAAAATCTAAAAAAAAATATTTTTCCGGATATTTGAAAATGAAATGAAAATGAAAATAGTTTTTATTTCTTTTTCACAAAAACTTAAATTAGAGTTGACGTTTGGATCTTCCTAGTAGGTATCACCTACCTGTATCAGGAATGATGTACTAGTTGAAGAATTTGTATAGAGTAACATATTTTTCATGGGGTAATAATAATACTAATAATAATAACAACACACACTATATCTAACATCACGGAATCACATTTCATCGGTAACAAAATTTTGCAATTTTCTTCCATTAAAGCAAAGCTCAAGTTAAACTGGTTTCGAATTCGGTCTTCGGCCAATCGGAGCGCAGTTGTCACAGTAATGATTTGGCAGAATAGTTTTCAAACAAATTAAATGACATTTCGTCTCTATTTCTGGTTACATATTCGATGATTCATATTAATTTACAGCACACGGATTGCGGACGTAAGGTGCGACCACCCCACATCTCCTAAAAATGTAGGGTCGCGATGAAATACGTCACCTTAATGGATTTTTTACCAGCTTGATTATATTTACACTCGAAATACACTAATGGTGGCACTCTATTTTCACTGTACGCGAACACCCTCACAAAGTGTTACTACAGAGTAATTTAAGTTTCAAACAAAACCAATTAAAGTTTTTTCCGAAGCGTGCCTTCGCTGTCGAGCGTATTGTTCTATGGAAGTTTGTATACTTATAGTAATTATAACTACTTGAATAACAACACCCGCTCTCGCTCTTGTGTTCCTGAGTGTGTTACATTTAAAGGAGGCATCACACTTTTAACATGGATTCGGCTTAAGTCAGTCAAAAAAAGCTTCATGTCCATATAAGCGGGAAAGATGTGAGATGTTTGGTTTCCGCTCGGATTGCCGAGGCGAAACGCGTAACATCTTTTTCGCTTTTATTGCATGGACAGAAAGCTTTTTATCCAGCATATACGGTTCGACAAGTGGTGGTCCTAATACAAACAGGTCGTTGGTATCATTAGGCGTGTTTGTTTATATGTAAATACAGAGTACTAAAAACCTACCTCAAAAGTTCGTGGAATTACACTTATTTGCCAAGTTTTATTAAAATCGTTTACTCAAAAGTGCGCGAAACCGAATTCACCCCCTACTTTGCCACCCTTAGAGGTGGAACGTTTTCTTCAAATTTGAATGTGACGAATACTGAGGTGCCCTCTTTTCAACAAAAAAAAATCATCAAAATTGATTCACAAATACCGAAATCATCGCGTAACGTACATACAAAAAAATACTGTCAAATTGAGAACCTCCTCCTCCTTTTGAAGTCGGTTAAAAATTAAATAAAATGAAATATTGGTTGTAATGAGTATTATGATGTTTTACCATTATGATATTCATTGATTTTTGTAAAACTTTCATAGATTTTTGGCAACGGCAAAAAAACCGTTAAAAACAAAAATTTAAACAAACGCATAGACAAATTCGTAAATTCAGCTAAAGCCCAAGCTACACCTAGAACTTAACTTATCTCACGTAGCTGAGGCATCTATTTATACTTTTGTTCACACCGCGAACTAAACTAACCCAACGATCCCGCTAAGCTTGTAAAATATGTCACCCTTCCGCCGCCCTTCACCCCCGCACCTATCCATAGCGTAGCACGTCACTACTTGCTACGTGTTTTCTTAGCTTAGCTTTGCATGCAACTAAGTGAGCTAAACTAAGTTAGCTTAGTTTCGTTCGCGGTGTAGCCTGCGCTTAACTCATACAGAGCTCTAACTCTCTATCAACTGAGCTACAGTTGATAGAGCGTTGTTCTAGAATGGCAAAACAGACACAGACTCGAGTCCTATCAGATCGAAGGAATTTTTCTTTGTGTTCTATATTTGTATTAATAATTAAATAAAACGTTTATGTAAATACAATATCAGTGTTGATTAGTGTGCCGTTATTCAAAGGAGTTTGTGCAACAAAACACAATGGTTTGTTTTTCTACCAAAGAAAAGATATCATTTATGAAATGTAAATCGAAATATAAAACGAAAGTCATTCACTGTTCGTTGGAATATTTTAAATAATATGGTAATGAAAATCCAACGACATGATGCTGAACAACGGCCAGCTCGTAAAAAGGCTACGTCGTCATCCAGAAAGTCATAAAAAATAAAATGACAATCATACCTAAAAATGTTTCCATTCATTCATTCATTCATTGTCTACTCTGTCTTCGATCGACGATCTTTTAGTTATTCCCTCACATTGTTTGAGAAAAACACTGTACAAGCCTGGGCTAGAACGGGGATCGCTTGACTCGTATTAATACAAGGCCTCGCTGGCGCTCGTCCTTGTAACTCATACTCGTCGAGCAATCCCGTACTTCCCGGCCTCTGCAGTAATGTACTATTACTTCCATTTTTATTAACGGAACTGTTTACTTGGATTAAAATTGTTAAGACTGTTGTGTCATAACGACCACTTAACCGATGTGTAAATGTAACATTGAATTTACGCCTCTGAAATCATAATCGTTTTGAAGATCTGCGATCTCCCTCCCGGGAATCAATCATGTATTTATGGAATACTGTCAACTTTTTATCGATGCATAGCAACATCTGCTATAAGAAAGGCTTGTAAATATCATAAAATCACGACCAGGGCTCCGTCACTCGCTCAAGGTTAAACGATAAGTGCCGCTGAGTGTACCGACGTCGACACAAGCGCTCACACAAGTCTTTCATTTATGAGTATTCGGCTCCGTACGACTGCACACGGCGGGCAATGTTATTTTCACCTCTCTGAACGCGTGCTTGAGTTCATTTTTGTTCATAGTAAGCGCCTGGTGTCATTAGTCAGATTTAGTAGGCTATTATAGCGTAGGTATTTTCGATTTTATACGAGATTGAAGTACTATTAAGTAATCTGTGACATGACCACAAAATTGTAACAAATAATTAGGAAAAGTGTATTTTAAAACTTACATGGTTATTGACGTATGTTACAAAATATGCGGTACAACAATATAAATAAAGTTCCATCACACACCGTTAGACTTGTTTGTGTACATTTCCAATTTGCTATATTAAGACTTTTCCCAAGAGGAATTACTACCAATCAGATAGGTAAGAAAACTTCGATCTAATGAAGTACACAATTATATTATTAATTATATTTAATAATAAAATAGTAATTATTAGTTTGTAGCCTTCAAGCTCCCTGAAAAAAGTTCGTCCAGAGAAGTAATGTGTAATGTAATTTAAAGCTTGAAGGATACTGCAAGTGTTTTGGGTAGGCGTGTCGCTTACATATTACATATTATATTATGCAAACGTGATGCAGTCGCTAATCGTCAACCTTTACACACACGTTCGATTTTAAGTGATGCAAACGTCAAACGCGATGCACGTTTTTAATTATTAACTGATTTGTTTATTTTATGCATTTATTCATTTTACTTTAAGTTTACAATTAACGAAACAAAACAATATGCATAAACCTATACAGATTTTTCGTACACAATGATTCAACTAAAGCGATTGCATCGATGCAATCCCGCCTTTGTATCGATGCAGTCGAGCGTTTGCATCGATACAATTGGTAATAAATCGCAAGTGTAGTGATGCAATCGCGCGTTTTACAAACGCGTTGAGTGTTCATTAGCACTTGTTATTATACTTGTTGTTAAAGCCGCTTCCTAATTGAATGAGCGTAACGAATTTCGACTACGTGACGTCTAGAGAAAGTAGTTTTTGCAGTACCTCAGATCTATATTGTTTATACTCCTCGCATCGAGTCAGAGAATAGACACCTATAGAGAAGAAAAGTTGGTTTCTCTCTATCGTCCGAGTTACGTTCTACTAAACGATTATAACTTTATTCTGTCCACTGCATACGTTAATGGTGAAAACGATACTTTCAAAGTTAGCGTATCGGGGTAGAAGTCACCTTGGCGTGCATGACCTCAGGGTGAACATTGAAATAGTTTAACTATGATCTGCATAATTAATAATTTTACCTTTATTTTATCAAAGTATAAAGAGACTAAAGAATCTTTTATTGGAAAAGTCCCTTTACTCAGTTACAGAGTACACTCAAAGTACTTAATAAATAATTAAATTATTATATTTATTAATGAATTTGACCTTTACCGTATTATTATACTTTAATATACATTTGTTAATTATTAAGAGTCCATATTGAGATTTTTCTGTATACACTTGACATTGTTACTTATTACTTCCTATTATATAATTATTTCTTCATTTTTTTGTAAAATGACATGTTGAGAGAAATATACTGAAATAAATAGGAATAATAAAAACGTAATAATATAAATAAACCAATAATGTAAGTGACCCAATTTAGAAAAGTTCATTTAAAAAATAACTAAAGCTAATGTGTATGGAAATCGGAAATAACGACGGTGCCACAAACAATCCAGATCCAAGACATACGAAATTTAGTTTTTGATACAGTTGCCCAAAACGTTGTATTTTTCGTACTACAAATCGTGCCAAAAGTTGGATTTTCCGCACTAGTACTTTTTACTTTTCCATTTTTTTTATGTACTGATGTTTCAAGCCTTAAACATAGAACTAAAGAGGTTGTATATTTATTTATCGTCATTAAAACTTATATTTACTTACAAACATCTTACTTGTTTAAATTGCACAGGTGTTTTATAAGACATGTAACCCGTTTACATTTAAAAATACCAAAATATTTTCCATAAAGATGGCTGATTGAGCATATTAACAATGACCGGAGGTGAGTATTTCGCGAGACCGCTGCGCGCTGCGCCTCTAAAATATACTGTTTTATTTTCACTTGTCTCGAGTCTTGAAGCCTCGAGACTCGTGAATAATGACTAACTTTCCGCACTTGTAACAAAAATAACTATTTCTACATTGACCCGACCGCGGATTTAACCCGGGACCCCAGAGATGGCGACACCA